AGTTTTGGAATAAAGTAATTTATTTTGAGTCTCAATTACTTTGTCTTCACCCTTGATTCTTTCTTCATAAGCTTTTAAGCAACCAAACACGTCTTCAAAGCCAATTGTTTTAAGGTCCAAAACTTGTTCAAGGGCTGCAACAATGTGGACAAATCGCCTAGGGAGAGTCATAAGAAACTTCTTCGCAAGCTTCTGTTCAGTCATAACTTCTCCTAGTTAGGCGGATTTCGAAGCAATTCCGGATAATTTCGCAGCGAAATCATCTATTGTACTAGTATCACTCATCTTTAGATTTTCAAATTCTATGATTAGAGTTTGGAGTCAGACTTCCTTCACACGATCAACTCCTAAGTTATGACTTTTAATCGCTTCCCACATCTCTCTTCTGGTTTTCAAATTACCGATTTGAAGGATTAAATCCTCCGGAATCGATTGAAACAACAATCCTTTCACGATGTTGTTTTTCTTCACGTCATCTAGTCCGGGATCAATCACATCCCAAACGCCATGAATCCCGAGTAGCACCTCCATGCGCATCCTCCAAATTGTGTAGTTCGTCGATGTCAAAGTCGGACATTGGAACGTGAACGACGTGTGTACCTTAGCCGGTGGTTGGGATGATTCTCCTCCCGACATCGTGATTCGATTTCTGATTCCTCCTTAGGTGTCGATTTATAAAAAATATCGTAAACCTCCACACAAATCAGAAAACTGATTTAATATATATATATATATATATATATATATATATATATATATATATATATATATATATATATATTTCAAACAATTGATAGATCAATAAAACATGTTTTTTTTTCTTCTGCACACAAATTAGAAAACTAATTTAATGAGATTTGGGCCAATTAGTGAATAAAGGGTTTCTGATTTGAACTAGACCTGGCAAAATTTGGCACGACATGACAACTCGACACGAACCCGACACGAAGTTAGCTGGTTAGGGTCAGAGATTTCGACCCGTTTATGTACACGGGTTGACACGACACGACACGACACGATGATTAAACGGGTAGGGTTAGGGTCAAGACTTTCAACTCGAAGATGACCCGAAGATGACCCGTTTAATTATATATATATATATATATATATATATATATATATATATATATATATATATATATATATATTTCATATTTTTAGAAATATTTTCAATATTATACATTTAAAGCGGCCCAAATTCAAGAATTAACAACAAAATTCAAACTTTTAAAGTGACTTAATTTTACTCCTCCTCACTACTTATCTCATTTTCTTCATAACTCTTAACTCTTTCCATTTTTGCGTTCTAAAGTTACTAGTATAATTTTTTTCCGTTCCACCTCTCAACTCCTGCATTTCATTTTTTTTCCTCCGTGACTCTTACTTTTCAACCTTTAAAATGTTTCAAACCGACATGACACAACATATTTATAAGGTTTAAACCTTAACCCGAAACTCGACACGAAATAGACACGAAAATAAACGGGTTGACACGACACGATAATTAAACGGGTCAGGTTAGGGTCAAGCACTCTCAACCCGTTTAATGTCTTGACACGGCACGAACCCGACACGACACGACACGTTTGCCAGGTCTAATTTGAACAAGGGCCCAAAAAGAAGAAAAACACGTTTTTTTAGGGCAAACACGATCTCTTCCTCGTAGCAGGTTCACTTTGTGTGTTTGGCGATCTTCCAAAACAGCTTACGACCTCAAGATTATTCACGAGCCAAGTTTAAACTGTCGACGATTCTGAACAGGACCTCAAGATTATTCACGAGCCAAGTTTAAACTGTCGACGATTCTGAACAGGAGAGTTTTAATCGCCGATTTCTCTTTCTGCTATCACGATCTCAGAATAGGTAACAATCTTCTAAGAGATTATTTGTGGTCGCTAAGTTCCATTCCTGCACAGATTCTCCTCACGAGAATTACTAAGTAGTTTTACTGCTTGATTTCTCCAAACAGATTATGGAATAGGAATCGATTTCAGGAACTTATTTTTTTGTTTACACGAACTTGCCTTCTTCCCTTCTTTGCTTTCTTCTTTGCTCTGATACCAATTCAAGGTAAACATGAAAATAGAAAACAAAAGGCTACTGCATAAACTGTTTATGCAGGTTTTATTGAAGAAATATAGCTCTAAAACTTGAATCGATGATAAATTGAGTACATGACCATCTCTCATAATATATACTATACAAAACACAATAGAATATAACTAGGACTCTCTTATCTACACTTTTCTAATATGCATTCCTTATTGCTCAAGGAAGTAAGGAGTAACGAGTATTTGGACAACACTCCAAGACTTGTGATCTGGACCAAACACTCATAACTTGCCACATTTGACTCAGATATTCATCAACAATAATTAATATTTTTTAATTTTAAATCAATCAAAGTGATATATTAGTTTAATATATAACATAAACACATTCTTATTATCGTAGTTGTCAATGAACACTGTAAGACATTATTTATTTTAATTTATAATATACTTAATCAATTAAATCTATGTATGGAAGAACGTTGTTAATTTTGGATATCCTGGTTCGGTTATGATTTTCGAGTTTTTATATAAACAAAGATCAAACCCATTTATCCATACCCTTTCTTTTTTATTTTGATTGACAACCTAGAAACATATTTTTTAATAAATAATAAAAAAAGATTTCAGTTGCTACAACAATAAGAATAATATATCATACCTTGACTGATTCTTTGGATTCAGATAATACGAAGTGATGAGTTGGTTATTACTTATATTGTTAACCTAAAAGAATAGTCACTCTAAACAAAAAAACCAGACGGTTTATCGAAACGGTTCAGTTGTTCGATTTTTTTGGTTTTGGCTTTTCATTGGGTTTTTTGCACAACTTAGCAATTATATTGGTTTTAATATTTAACTCACACCCTTTAAACACAGTAAATTTTTTAGAATATATATAATTTTAATTTAATAATAGGTGTTCGTGTACTAGTTTTCACATATATCATTGTATTATCGTATGCAATTAGGGCCTCGTTTTTTACTTTTGCCCCGGGCCTCAAATTAGCTTGGACCGGCCATGGATATTCCCATCAGCGATTTCGTTCTATAGCATCCCAAAACCACGAAACAAAGGAAACTGAAGATGAGACAAGAGAAACCTAAGAAGGTCTAAGCCATGTGTGATATCATGGGGAAAATGAAAAAAGAATAAAGAAAAAATGCAAGTTAGTCTCCTTTGGCCGGCGGCTAATTTTGACTATATTTTGTAAAGTAAGTAGGTAAAATTGTTAAATTCGTAAATCTCTCAAACATATATCGTTATGGAGTTTTTGACAATAATGGGGTGGTTGAAAAAAAAATATTTACCATTTTTGTGTTCTTTCAAAACTATTTATCATTTTAGTGTTTTTCTCATTTTTTTTTATTTTTAGTTTCCTTTTCAATTTTTTTTTTTTGTTAATTTAAGTATCTTATTTTTCTTTTTTTCTTTTTTATTCCATCTTTTTATTGTTTTTTTCATTTTTCTTTACTTTTTAGTTTCTTTTCATTTTTTTAATTTAAATATCTTTTTTTTTTGTCTTTTTTATTCCACATTTTTATTGTTTTATATATATATATATATATATATATATATATATATATATATATATATATATATATATATATATATATTTTTAAATGACAGCTTTCATTTTAGTTTTATTTATCCTTTTTTTATTGTTTTTATCCTTGATGTAAGTACAACTTGCATCTTGATTGCTCTAACAAGTTCCTTTTTATCCTTAAAAGAATCTTTTCCCAACTCTTGGATAAAATCATTTTTACTGTTGATTGTGTCATAATCCAATTTTCATCAATAGTCAAATTTGTTTCTTCCATATGAGTAAAAGTCAAAGGTAATTCAACATTATTGTCAAAAGATGCTTCATCATCATCTTCATCTCCAATTCCATCTTCCAATATTTCATTTAACTCAACATCATTTTCTATATTCATCACATTAGTCACAACAGCAACTTGAAAAATTATAGAAAAATTCTCATTGTCAATCATGTCTATAATAGAATTCATCTACAAACAAATAAAAACAAGTAAAAATTGATAAAAAATGATCATATGAATTTGTGATAACAAGAAAAAAGAAACATAATAACATTATTGCAATCAATTCCATCAAAGATTAATAAATAAAATAAAATAAAAAAATAACAAGCTCTGACGATAGAGGAGGAAAAATCGAAACAGTAATTGATCAAAACAATAATCAATTCCATTTACAGAAGCAAAGTAATCAAAACAGAAATTGATCAAAGCAAATAATCAAAACAGAAATTGATCAATAATTCATCCTAACTAGAAGCAAAATCGAGACAAATAAAAATAGAGAAGCAAAAAGCAAACATAAACTTAACAATTGGAATCCAGAAGCAAATAGAAAACTTAAGAATCAGAATCAAAATCGATAATTTTGCATACCTTGCAGGTTGCCGGCGACGATGGAGGAGGTGCAGGCAGCCGGCGATGGTGGACGATGCGACAACAGAACTGGAGGTGGAGCCCTAGCTGTGTTTTCGATTTTTTTTTCTGATTGTTCTCGTAATTTCGTTCCAAAGTTCCAGAGACAAAAACGTGTTTTTTTTTAAAAAAAAAAAACAATAATATTAGTATTAAAATTAAGGTAATACCATTTTGGTAAATATTTTTGAAACAATACTAATATGGTAAATATTTTTTTCCCTTAACACTATTATGGTTAAAAACTCTATCGTTATGACGTTATCTATAGATTAAAAAAAAAGTTGTGTACAAATACCTTAGAATGAATAGACGGGTGTCGAATTTGGTTGTGGACTGATGAAAATAAAAAGCCTGATCCAATATGTGCACCTTTATCTCTAATTCTAATTCTATAAGTTAACCTAATTGTAATCTATAAGTTAACCTAATTGTACTCAGATCCAAATATACACTTCTAAGTCGAAGAACATAGAAGGAAAAACGAAAATGGTTTCACCACGATCACGACACCCAACTACAATGGAGAACCTCCCTGGCGAAGTTTTATCAGACATATTCATCAGGTTATTGGCAAAACAGCTTGCTCAAATGAGGTGCGTTTGCAAAGATTGGAATGCTCTGTTATCTGAATCCTCCTTTGTAAAATCCCACCTCCATCGTTCTATGCATATCAACCAGAAGATTCTTATGTTCTTCGGTGTTAGGGCTGACTGTACTTCATTCACTGCAAGCCCCTTTTCTTCTCCCGCTATCGAACTCGACAATTTTTTCAAATTCCCCGTTAATCTCGAATCTCAACCTGCACGTTGTTTTGGTAATGTCGTTGGATGTGTGAAAGGGTTAATATGTTTTAAGTATGAATCAGGTGATGATTATATCGTTTGTATTCAGAACCATTCTCTCTCCGCTTTCTTAACTCTTCCGCCATGTTCCATGGGCTCCTCCTCTGAATCAAGAAATACCATTTTCCGGTTTGGGTATGATCCCAAAACCGATGATTACAAAGTTGTTAAGCTTACAGAGCTTTTCGACCCACGAAGAATGGCACCAGTTGAGGTTTATAGCCTGAGAAAAGGTAAAGGTTCCTGGGATTTGGTATCTCAAAGAATTCCATCACACCTGCAATGCATTAGAGATCTAGATTTAGTTTGTGTAGATGGGCATGAAGGCCATCTTCATTGGTTTTGTTATGCTTATATTGGTGGGAAGTTGACACAATTGATATTGGCATTTGATTTGTGTTCAGAGAGATTCAAGGAGATACCTTTTCCAGATTCTTTAAGAACATGTTGCTTTGGAGATCGGTTGAATGTGGTGGGAGTTTTGGGTGGAAAGGTTTGTGTGATGTCGAGGGTAAGAGATACTGATTGTGAGGTGTGGGTGATGGATGAGTATTCATGGGTCAAACTTCATGTGTTTTCAGGGTTTAGTGGTGGTGATAAAATATTTCCATGTGGATTTACATCAAACAAGCAGTTTCTTTTTAGATCTATGAATGAACTTAATCGTTATGGTTTGTATGATCCAGTTATAGCCAAGACTAAAAACTTCAAGATTCGTGGAAGATCTGTTGGATGTAAAGTTGTTGAGTATGTTGACAGTCTTGTTTGGATAGCACCTACCAATAGATTGAATAATTGAAGAGACATCATGATATGTAAAAGTTCAATTCCTTACTGTCTATCAATTTTGATTAAACCCTAATTTAGATGATAAAAGTTGTTTTTTTTTAAGAAGCCAAACATTTGTAGACTATGCTTTGGAGTTTGTATTATTTTCGTCTTCAAGTTTTTTATAGTTTGGTTGGGTTCGTGTTTTAAATTTTAATTAAACCCAAATATATATATATATATATATATATATATATATATATATATATATATATATATTAATGAATTATTAGTCTCATTGTGGAGGCGAAGCTTTTATTTTAGATTGGATTGTATGTATTTGGTTGTTTGCACTGAAGTAGTAAGATCTAGATTATTTATTGGAAGTTGATATTTGTTAAGGAACTTTGAAGGAAACTTCTCTCACTGTCAAATAGGAAGGGAAACAAAAAATTTATGGAAAATTATGCAAAGGCCCTACTATGTATTTCAACTTTACATTTTCAGTCATTAGAGTTTTTTTCGTACCTTTTAAAGGAACAAACTGTTTTTTGTCGAGTCGATTTGATCACTTTTGACAAAATAAAGGGGTAACCTAGTTACACATTTGCGACACATACACATAAAATCTCTCTCTCTCTCTCTCTCTCTCTCTCTCTCTCTCTCTCTCTCTCTCTCTCAAAAAGGTCTAGTAAGAACAACCCAAGAAGATCCTGTTGCAGGAATGGAATGGAACAGAAAAAATGATAAAATCTCATCGGATAAAATCATAAAAAGGTAAGAGTTATAGCAGAAGTACACACCCATGAACAACTTGAATTAAGAAGGCATGGAGCGTTTCTCTTTGGCCTAGAAGTTGGCTATAGCTGACAATGAGGGTGCAAACGAGCCGAGCCTAGTCAGGCTCGACTCGGGCTTGTTTAAGTTATACGAGGCTCGAGGTCGAGCTCGGCTAGATTCAAGCTTTCTTGTAGTGAGCTTGGCTTGACATCGTAAAGAATTATATAAGATTGGCTCGGGCTCGAGCTCGGCTCGTTTTTGTCTAACGTGCCTAAATGAGCTTAAGCTCGGTTTATGCTCGTTAAGAAGCTCGTTTACTAATACCCTAAATCCCTAATTCTCCAAATATTATTTATTTTAATATATATATAAATAATAATCAATCATATTATATATAGGCTCGTTTAGGATCGCGAGCCTAATCGAGCTTAGTGACATAGGCTCGAGCTCGAGCTCGTTTAATAAATGAGCTTAATATTAAGCTCGAGCTCGGCTCGGGCTCGTTTAAAATTGGTTTCGATTCGAGCTTTTACTGAGTCGATCTCAAGTAGCTCACAAGTAGCTTGGCTCGTTTGCACCCCTGGTTGACAGCACCTCTACACTTCCACCAAAGTTGCTATGACTAGTCTTAGGTGTTGTTTGTTTTTTTAAGAAAAACACTTCAGACCACTTATTGTTATGCCGCACAACACACGCGCAACACTTGGCCTTTTGCAGCTGTGCTGCGTGGCGCAACACTAAACCAACTGCTTCAAATCTCTTCGCGCCTTACTTTAACTTACTGCAGCAGTCTGCAGACGTTAAAAAACAAACAAACTTTTTATTAAATGTTGCAACTGTTTGTTCCACCTCTGCTGCTATAGAGGATTGCAAATATGGTCTGCAGACTTCAGGCATTTTCGCTTCAAAAAAACAAACAACACCGGCTTTTCAACAACTTTCTCAGTCTTCCCCGTTTCATCATCTGTCTTTTTCTTTGGGGATTTGGACTTGGACTTTTTCGAGCTTTCAATCACAATATCCTCATAGTTCTTCGACTTCATGGATCTCTTCTTCTTCTTTGATCCATCATCTGGTAACAATACCCCAACAGTCTCATTTGGATTAACACCCTTCAAGTAATTGACCAACACAGGATGTGTAGGATCAATTTTCTTTAGCATCGCATCAGGGATTCTTCCAATAACCGGAAACTCATCTTTGTCATCCTCCACAGACTTAGGAAAATGATACTTGTTGAATTCAGCAGTTGGTTCATTGTCAGGAACCTGAATCCCCTCCTCGTATACAAACTTCAAGATCAAACTCCAATCACTACTAGAAAAACAGCCTTTTACAACGCGCAATGCGTGTCGTAAAACGCTCAGACGATGCACAAATGTGTGTCAAGGAAGGCCCTGTCATAACGAGAGACGACACGCTTTTGCACGTCGTCTATTTATGACACGCATTTACGATGCACATTTATGATGCGCAGTTATGACATGCAATGCGTATCAAGGAAGGCCTTGTCATAAAGGAAGACGACACGCATTTGCGTGTCGTAACCTTACGACGCGCGTGTTTATGACACGCAATGCGTATCAAGGAAGCCGTTGTCATAAATGAAGATGACACACATTTGCGTGTCATAAACTTCAGTAACCATTTTCGATATGCATTTACGACGCATCTTTACAATACTCATTTACGCATAATACAAAAATAATTAAACAAATATATACCAAAACAATCACTTTCATCCAATAACATCATGTCAAAAAATTGTAATGCATTGATATTAAGGGGATCTAAATGTACATTGTTATTAAGAGGTTTTCCCTAACTATATAACCTAATACTACATTGCTATTAAGGGACACCTTCTGCAATGTAATGCTATACAAACTAAAAAGATATACACAAAGATGATAAACATAAAATTCCAACTAAGTAGAGTTGCATCTTGCCTTTCATAATTCTTTAAGACTAATGAACCCCTGCTCCGATAATTCTTGTGATATGATATTTGATCCATGTGGTGTTCCGGGTTCCATTAAAACATGTTCTGCATTGAAAATATTTGCATAAGTGTGTATCGTTGCAGAATTGCTTGCTCTAACACAACACAAAGATATTAGCCACTTTTTTTGCATCAGAAAACAAAATGAACTTAACAAACCTACCATATCAAGAGAAGTCATGAATGAACCTGTATACACTCTAACAACAACTACTCCATGTTCTAGCTGTAAAATAGGAATAGCCTTTCCAGTAGCAATCATCAGTTCCATTACAGGTGTCCACCCTAATCTGAGATTTACAATTTTCAAATCATAAATCCAATTTGTCAAAAAGAAATACATAATTAGCAATCTTATTTACTTTGAAAAAGATAAAACAATACGCATATAGATAGCTTCTGAGTTCTGAATTCCCTTAAAATGTTAACATATGCTAGGGTAAGATACCACTTATCAAAAGGGAAGAAGCAACTAAGCAAAATAGATTACATTGCATACCCGTTAATCATAAGTACAACACGACTCCCACGTTTAATTGGAACATAGTTAGTGTCCTGAAAAGACATTACTCTTCCTCCCCATCTTTAGTGCAATTTCAAGAGGCACTGGGAATCAAGTACAATACCCACTTCATAAAGACATTATGATCAAAATGGAGAGAGTATAGTGCAACAAGGTTGGTTGAAACTAAGGAAAGGAAATTTTTTACAGGTTGTATTTGGAAGATAATTAGGCGGGAAGATAATGTGGTAAAAGAAATTTTTCTATAAATGAAATCTACACATGATTTTAAGTTTTATATCATTTTAGTATCCACGATAGTTATCTTGAATTTCTTCATCTTAGAAGGCAAATAGAGAATAAACATGACATAATTAAGCAATAGCAACACATAAAAGCTTCTTAACTACATACACTATTCTCTTGATTCCATTTTAATACAACATCAAGATTCAAGGGATACCTAGTAGAAGCTCTCTTTAGGGAACAACTCAAAATCAACCAAAAAACCACAAACATATGACATATCATTCATTCAACTACTTTTCACTTTTCAATCACATAAATGATTCCCTTTCAAATCACACACACAAATGAGGCAAAATTCAGTGTGTACTAATTAAGTACTAACCTCTTGTTCAGCTGGTTTTCCTTCTTCATTTTTTGAGTTTTCATCACCTGTAATCAAACATAAATTAATATAGTTTGAAACCAATATTTTAAATTAATATAATTTCTTCTACAATACCTCCATCCTCAGGCAAATCAGAAGTCCAAAGTGTGATGGAGTTGTGACAGGCTCTCTCTCTCTCTCTCTCTCTAGAGAGAGAGAGAGAGAGAGAGAGAGAGAGAGAGAGGAACGATATTGCAAATGCAAACAAATAGCATATAAATTATAATATATATATCATTACTCTAGAGAGAGAGAGAGAGAGAGAGAGAGAGAGAGAGAGGAACGATATTGCAAATGCAAACAAATAGCATATAAATTATAATATATATATCATTACATTCCATCAAGTGATGAAAAAATACCCCTCTACTCTATGGAATAGAAATCATTCCTATATTGCAAATGCAAACAGAACTTAATAGAAAAAAGACAGGGTGTTAAGAAACAGAGAAAATTTGTAAACGGACCTGTGGGAAGAGGCCATCTACACAATTGTAATGTTGGTTCAAGTGCTTTTGTGAGCCAAGCAAGCTCTGGCTTCCACTTGTTGCTGATTGCATCTTCTTCATCAGAATTGTATTTGTTAACCTTAGAATTCGACTCTGTTTGGTTGTCATGTTGAGGTATTCTATTTCTAGGTGATACAGATGCATCATCTTTTGCATCTTTCATGTTTGGATCTTCTACTTTTGGCCATTGTGATTGAAAGCGTTTGATGACATTATATACACGGGAGTTATAAGGTTCCCTTTCCTTTATAACCTTGGAACTCAAATCTGCAGCACCAAAAGTGAATGATATAAAGATTGAGAAAATAGAAATACAAACGCAAAATACTGTAATATGTTCTAAAAGTTTCCCCCTGAGATCATTATGAACTCATTGTTCTTGATCTTTGAAAGTTGTATCTGATAACTTTGCTTTTAAACTGATGTAGACATTGTTTTTTGAGCACCAAAATCGTTTATACTAAGTACACCCCACTTAAAGGAGCTATAAAATGAGACTATGAGAGTGACTTATTGTTTGTTTAATAATGCTCGACTGAAACTGCATGCCAAATGATAGGCTATTTATTCTGTTGAAATGTGCAAGTAAGCTATGTTTGTTTAATAATGAAAATTACTACTGTATAGGCGATGGCAGAAATTGGAAAGGCTTCAAAGCTTGAGGCTTGTTCACTGCCCTCTGAAGCAGGGATATATAAGAAGGGTCAATGGGAGGAGATCTTTTTCAAATTGAAGGACTCCAAAAGCTACAGACAAACTGTCAGCACTATTTCTAGTTCATGTAGCACAGCTGCTACTCCAAGAAACCTAATAATTTGCATCATATGGTATGGATGCATTAAAAGTTAACACAAAAAATGAAAAAAAAAAAGACAGAAATACCCCTCTCCATACCTGCAACAGATGGTGCTGCTTCTTTTGCTTCAAAAGCTTCACGAGCTTTAGATATATCTATTATTGCATCACTCATATACAGGCGAAGAATATTCGACTCCTCAAGATCAAGAAACGTGTTGTGAACCTGAATAATTTTGGTTTAGTTCATTTAATGTTACTGTTAGAAAGATTTTATAAAAATAACAAGATTTAACAAAAGAAAATCTACCTTGGATTCATATGCAGATAAGGTATTATGTATCATTCCTCAGTTTTATTGACTTTGGAAGACTGTAAAAGAGAAAAATAGGGAAGTTGAAAAAGAAAGCAATCATGATTAGAAATATACAGCAAAATAACAAACCTTCAAAAAAATTTGAACAGCTTCACGTAATTCCTCTGTGGATACTAGGCTGGAAAATTTTGCTTATTACCGCAGGAAGCCTCAGCTTTGTTTCAACCTGTGTAACACAAAAAAAAAGTCAAACATTGACTAATTGGATATACATAAAAAGAAAAACATTCACCTCATCCATGTGACAGACGTTGCACTTATCAAGATCCTTCCATTTAACATGAACATGGCTATAACCAATTGGCATGCTGAGTAAGCTCCCTGATATCATCTTTGAATTTGATGTCCCCTACAAATACCACTGATTAAAATAATAATAATAATAGATATTTCAGTTTCCTAATACAGATAAATTCTAGGTGAACTACTTACCTGTATAAGTTTCAACACATGAGGATCAGAAAAATCAAACATATCAGCACCTGACTTGAAGACGCTCATAGATTCACCTTCACCCTGTGACTCATCATAACTACTTGAATGTATTTTTCTTATTTTTTCATAAATTTTATTCCAGCATGATGAAGGATCTGGACCATCAAACTGCATGACAAAACAGATATACAAAGATTATAATGTTGTAATAAGAAAGAAAATGGTGTGATAGAAAGAAATGCAAGTATGTTATTGCATTTAGAATTAGCCCTACCTGATATCCATCATCTGTTGTAACTCTAAACACAGGTTGGGTTTTTGTGCAAGTATCTCTCAACACTTCCATCTTATATACAGAAAATACACTTGGATCTGAAATCAAGAAAAACAAGAGATGTTAAATGAAAGAATCAGGTTAACAAAGAGAAACACCACACTTAACTCAACCTGCTGATATTATCAAGTGTGTGTTCATCATTGAATAAAATCAGCAGGTTGGATCTGAAATCAAGAAATACATACTTGTCCCAACTGTCTTGGAACAGAAGGTGAAGTGGCTGCTGATACCTGCATATTTGTTTACTTGTTATGTTAACAAATCTTGTGCATAAAGATGATACCTTCAATCTAAGAAGATAATCTTCCAAAAAGGCTCAACAGATTCTTTAATTATTATACGAGCTGCCTATAATTGTAGGAATTAAGAAAACTAGATTTGACCAGGGATATAGTCAACCTAAGAAGATAATACATATAGAAATTATAAATACATGATGAATCCATTTCAATGTTTTATTCAGCCATTTCACCTGAAACATGAAGCTACAAAGATGAGACACGTTCACAAAAAAAATATAATTTGTTTAGTGAGTTTTAAAAAATCATGAAACGGGTTCTTTGGTGATGAAAAGCATCTTATACAAGAGGTTCAATTAAGAGTTGGCTTAAAGAATAACTGAAAAATCATCTTTGAAGACTTCTATAAAAAGTTGAGGAGAGATGAAACTAATTCTTAAGTTGCAGCTGATTATGTACATAGTGAAAGTACTAACCTGTTCATAAACAGGGAAAGATATCCATTTTGGAAATCACTCTAAAATTGGAGGCGGATGTGGCGAAGGATAAGATCGTCGCCATTGAAAGCACTCTAAACTTTGCAGAGAGCACTCCTTTGAACAACATGGGACAGATTTAAGTGATATCAACAGCTTCTCAAAGGGCTTTATAAGATGAGTATCAAAATGAAATCGAATAGGGGAGATTCTTTGACAAAATTGATATTTGAAAACGAGTCACAAAAAAGAGATGTGCAATACCTTGAATTCAGCAGAAGTCTTGGAGGATTCTTAGATGGATCACTTACAGGATACTTCGTGACCTAGCTCTTTTGGTTGTGTAATCGAACCGAGCATCGAGCTTGATTGCAGTTGATAGATAGGCAATACGAAGGAGGGGGGGAGAGAAAGATGAATAAAATACATCGCTTCTAATTTCGTCTCCTGTCTCGATCTAAGATACGAACCTCAAACCAGGGAAAAACGAAAAACCGCAGAAATCGCTTGAAAACAAAATCAAATCCACCTGGTGGAGGGGAAGAAGGACCAGAAGGTGAAGGTTGGAGGTGGATGAGGGGGCGGAGACCCCTTGTCCATTTCGTGAAGACTGGTGAACGATGGAAAGCGAGTTTAGGGTAGAGGAGATCATGAGGCGCGTTTTCTAAGAGGGAAGAAGACATCTGATCGATTAAAGGGAGAATGAAGGTATGGATTTTGGAGGCTGTGGTTGTTGATCGATAATTAAGAAAGGGAAGAACGAGATGCAGGAAGGGTTTGAACATACCATTTTTACGATCTCTTTTAAGCATGAGAAATTGTTGTGAGCTCTAAGAATTATGTGAGGTCCGGTTCAAAGCCCCAATATCTTTATTGATTATGTGAAGATGGGCCATATACGAAGATAAAAGATGAAGCCGGACCATATCTAAAGAATTTTGGGCAAAGTTATGGTTAGTTCTGATTAAAAGAGTAGCTATAGATATCAAAGCGGCCATGGATTTGCAGAGCTTCATTAATCAGGTCAAGGAAAAGAAGCAACATGCATAGACGACACGCCTTTTATGCTGAGTGCCCTCCGTGTTTTTATTTTTTTTGTTCCGACACTAATTTTAAGGGCGAGCAAAAATTTCTAAATCCTTCAAATCTTATAAGAGATGACATTATTTTTAGGGCACACGCTTTTGCGTATCGTAAATCAGCACGTGTCATGGTTCGCACATCATTAAAGGCCTATATTCTATTAATGAATACCTCGCACACGAAATGCCCTTCACGACATTCGTGTTTTCCACACTTTTAATGAACTCTTTCCATAACTGAGTGGCAAAGTCCACACTCAGATCGTAGTACAACCCCATGACCATTGCATACACTTCCAATCTTCCTTTATCAAGACCAACACTTCGTCCAGTAAGGCAACGAAGGTAAATTCCAAATAGGAAATTCCAAAGGCAAGGAAGTCCTGATTTCTTGAAATCACTTATCTTCTTGAGTGGGGGCTGATGACCCATTTGAACATATGCATAATTTGTGGATTTGTTGGCTTGAAAAATGGAGGCGATTTGGGAATTTCCAAAACCCTAGTAAAGATCTTCTTTGTCAATCTGAATTTCTTGTCATTGATGAGATTGAACGTCAACACATCCATGGCCTTGCTATAAGTTGCATTTGATCCGGCCATGCATAACCAAGAAAGCGGAACAACAAACGAGTTAAACATTGATGTCGATAACCCAGAGTGTTTCAGAGCAACTATCAGCATCTTCAGTTCCTCAGGATAAAGGGAAACATCATCCTCAACCTGGTAATTGGTGCTCTGGATCTTCATGATCGGGTTGGATGTTACTTCTTCAGTGTTGGTGGTTTGTGTGGCAGCCATTGTTAAGTTATTGAAAGCTTTTGAAAACAGAGAGAATTTAGGGCTTTTGTGCTTGTGAATTCTTTGATCGCATAAAGTATAAAGGAATGTTTGAAATCCTTTATATATGTTGCCCCAATTATATGGTAACTATCATCATTAAAGTCTTTACCAGGTCTTCCTTGAAACTCGCAATACTAGCCGTTACAGTGGCCATGTCAGATAAAGCACTTAGAAAAATGGGCCATGTTGCCAAATGGTTACATTAGACTGTTCGTGAGTACAAAGTACATACGACCAAAAACCTTCGGCATAGAGGTTGGGCTCTTTCGTTTTTGGGTTTAGAAACGAAGCCATGTGCCAGTCTTGTAAAATCTTCAGCCTGAGTTGGTATTACTCAGAACCTCAAGGCTTTCGTGAGTGCAGTGTGCCAATGAATAAGATAAGAAGCAATTTTAACAAAAATTTGGATCTATGCTGTCGAAAAAAAAAGTTATTTTCGACAGAAAAGCAGTTAAACCCCGGGCAAAGGTTGCTTTGTTAATTATCAAGAGAGATAATCAACTGCTTGTGTAGTTTCCCATGAATTACAATTGAATACTTATAGAGAAGTATCGAAGGGCTTCTTTTAATAAGCAACACAGGTGGCTTTTGAAAATTTCGTTACATATCAGCCTAAACATAAGGTGAGTAATTGTAACCGAAATTACTTGTTCGATCTGTGTAATCAGTGACAAGTATGCTTTGGAAATGTTAAAGTGACTTTGGACAAACGAATGATACTCATACAGAAATCATATTCTTAAAAAAAATGTAAGTTGGATCTTGTTGGGAAACAAATGTCGTGGGTTTCGAACATTTGATCAAGATCACTCAAAAGAAAATAATATGATTTTGAGTATACGAAATTTGGTACTGAAACAAATGTTTCGTAAAAATCCGGAACAAAGTTCCCCGTCAATTCCTTATTGATTTTTCGAAAGATTGGGTTTCACTTTCATCACGGCCTCATGATGTTAGATCATAAACACAGAGTTCTGATATGTCTAAGTCTTGATTGGTTTGATCAAAGACCTCTTTGACATATGTCATTGTGTGTGTGATATTTAAGAAATTTTTCGATGAAAAAGATTGGTTCAAGAATCGAATGTACCTCTGTTATTATTAGACCAAACAGAAAACTCTTAACTCATTTGAGAAGAGTAAGATAGCTCAGTTGACTAATGTGAATACAAGCTTGATTGGGAAGAAACTTTCGTTACGAAAAATTTCATTAAGGCTTTCAAAATCACACATTGAGTCATTGGAGGCTTGGGTCGACATGCTGCAGCATGCTTCTAGGGACATCTTAACTAGTACAAAGTTTGAAAGATTTACCATCCCTTAGAAATGCAAGCACGACCCTTGAAAGATATTCTTTAAGTCTGCACATCTAAACAAAAAAATAATATACAAAAAAAAAAATCTTTTTGGATTATATATTTTTGAAATAAAAGAAAAATATTTTTGTGATTTTGGATTTTTCGAAAATTAAGACAAATAACAAATCAAAATCTTTTTGGTATTTTTGGTATTTTTGAAAAAATATGCAAACTTATGAAAATATTTTTGGTTTTTTCAATTTTTCAAAAAATAAAGGACAAACTAACGAAAAGTTAAAATGCACCAAACTAACGAAATTGCTTAGTTCCAATTTACGAAAACGAAGCGTGTCGAAGCGCTGACTGTGAACAGTAACCTCTGAACAATTAATACGATTAACCTTTGAATGCTTCATTTTTCCTGTGAATCAACACTTTTTCGTTTGTTAAGAATTCGTTAATTTTGCAAATTTCGTCCTGGAACAGAATTTGAATCCAACATTCTCAGACCTGTCAAAATTCGCACAAACAATTTCTCATCAAGTGGTTTCGTGAAAATATCAGCAAGCTGATCAGTTGTTTTCACGAAATGAACTTCAATATTGTCATCCTCAACATGATCTTTTATAAAATGATAACGAAGTGCAATATGTTTATTTTTCGAATGTTCTACTGGATTATAAGAAATGCGTATAGCACTTTGAGAATCACAATACAATGGAATCTTTTCATGTTAATCGCATAGTCATGCAATTGACTTTGAATCCAAATGATCTGTGAGGTGCAAGCAGCAGCTGCAACATACTCAGCTTCAGCAGTGGAAATTGCAACACAAGTTTGCTTTTTCGATTGCCAACTCACAAGCTTCCCATCTAGTAATTGACATCCTCCACTTGTGCTTTTTCTATCAAGATTGCAACCACCCAGATTTGCATCTGAAAATGCTTGAATAAAGAATCATGATTTCGAAGGATACCACAATCCTAACGAAATTGTTCCTTTCAAATAACGAAAAATATTTTTCACTGCAGTAAGATATGGTTCTCTTGGATTTGCTTGATACATAGCACAATTGCAAACAGAAAACATGATATCAGGTCTACTTACAGTAAGATAAAGTAAAGAACCTATCATGCTTCTGAACAAAGTGAGATCAATAGCAGGTGCATCTAACGAAGGTGTTAATTTCATTCCAACCGACATTGGTACTCTCAATTTCGTGCTATTTATCATGCCAAACTTTTCTAACAAAGTATTTGTGTATTTTTCTTGGTTGATGAAAATGCCTTCTCTGCTTTGACGAATATTTAGACCAAGAAAATTGTTGATTTTTCCCATCATACTCATTTCAAATTGGCTGTTCATTGGATTTTCAAATTCACTAGACAAAGCAGGGTCAGTAGAACAAAAAATAATATCGTCGACATAAATTTAAACAAGCATGAGATGATTCCCAACTTTCTTTCGAAATAATGTGGGGTCAACTGGTCCTTGTTTAAATTTCGACTGTTTTAAGAAATTGGTAAGAGTTGCATACCAAGCTCTTGGTGCTTGTTTTAACCCATACACAGCTTTATCTAAGATATAAACATGATTAGGAAATTCTTCATTAACGAAACCTGGGGGTTGTTCAACATATACAGTCTCTTCAAGCTCTCCATTCAAAAATGCACACTTGACATCCATTTGATAGACATCAAAATCCTTGTGTGAAAGAACCCCTTTCTATACTTTCATATTTATGAAAGACCCAAATTTTCATATTTGACAATTGTTATTCCGAAACATGCTACATGCATATTCATAAAACAATATTTTATATTGATAAAACGGTTACAAACTACTGGATACAAGCCCACTATTTCATAGTGTTATATATTACATAACTCCCCAGGATATTATAGTTTTATACATATGGGAGTGCAAAATACAATAGTTAATTTCAAACTATTCGAATATCTTCTATCAAAACAGTAGTTTCAAACTATTCAAAAATCTTCTACCAGTATATCACTATACTGGGTGCTTATCTCCTGCAAATTAGTTAAACATTGAGAGGGGTAAGCGGTGACGCTTAGTGGGTTTAATAATAGATACAATATAACGTTATGCCATATATATACTGTAATATGCTAGAAGCAAAGAGGAACAAGGAACAACAAAGGCATAATGCGAAAAGCTTTCCATATTAATCAATGAGACATAACAAATTCCGTACTTGATATAAAATCAAGAAAGTTTCAACACAAATGGCACAATAAATACTCAGGAATATCATTTTGCTAGAATATTTAGGCTTTCAGCCTTATCTTAGCATACTACCGAAGCCAAAGTGATGCCTATGTCATACACTTCATGGTCAACGGTTCATACCAATACCCAAGTGATGCTTATGTCATACACTTCAAGCAGGGCCGGTCCAAAGCTATTGTGGGCCCAGGGCGAAAAGAAAAAGTGGGCC